AAGCCCGTGCACCTTTTCGCTCCATACATTCCAGTGTTTTCACCAAAGAAAAGGGCAGAACTTAGAAGCCATTGGTGACTTTCGCTCAATGTACCGCAGATGCCCCGCCAAATCGGTACAAGTACCTATACCCGAGCCGCAGCATCCGAGCTTCCTCTCCCATTTTCTCTCTCTGATTTTTGTGTCTTGTGCGCTCACTGCGCTGCGTGTGACTCTGTTTTCCCACTCTGCCGCCCAGGTTGGCGATGGCCCCCAATGGGCAAGCAACAATGGAATCCACTACTCCGTGCTGGCATGGGTGACTACGCAAAATACGCAAGTACGTGTACTTCGATTGCTACGGCACCTGCCCGGCTTGTGTCAGTCATTGAGCAGTCAGTCAGTCGGTCAGTCGGTCAGTCATCACGGACGCAGACAGACAGCAAAGCGCACAAGCACCGTCTTTTCATCCACCGCGGAAAGATCGACATGAGACCTCGCAGAGATGGCGCCGAAGCTTACCAGCTTTTCGACAGCAATCATGACAGCAACACTTATGACCAACCAGTCCATGATCATCATCCCCGAGGAAAGGATAATGGAAAGACGGCAGAGCATCGTCGACTTGGCATCTGCCTTGCCATACTTTGCCCGTTCTTTGAATCCCGCGTATGGAGTATTATTATAGCAAAGCGAAAGGAAGAAGCACAACCTGGACGATAGGTATTCTGTAAATCCACACGCAGTCAGGTCGGTACCACGGTACGGAGTACAATACAAGCACGAGTATACCTGCAGTAAGAGACGCAGTGGAAGACGCAGTCGGCGGTGGCCGAAGGACAGACGGAGAGAGGGCGGACGTAATGACGGGAGTACTCGGTACTCAGACTGGTGTTTGCCAAGAAAGGCATGCTAAGGGACTCCAGGGTTGACCTGGATGAAGCAATAGGTACTGCAGCAGAGCATCATAGCTCCATTTTCTTTCGATTCGGACTTTTCACTTTACCCAGTCCCAGCGTCCCACGCACCAAAACGGACCACATACCGCCCGACAGTTCCCCTCCCCTGGTCTCGGTCAGCTGTGTAGGGACGGGAGACTCGCGCCCACAAGGAAGGAAAGGTGGTCAAAGGTCCTCCGTACTCCGTACCCACGATCAGGTACCTTACAAACCCGTCGGCCAGCCCACCCAAGAGACAAAGTCCGCGTACCGTATACCTTGTCGCAAGGCAGTCTGGGTACCTACGGTACTCGTACGGTCCCTCCCCCTTCCTCCCCCTGGTACCTCGCTCCGGTCCTCACTGTCCTCTGCGAGAAGAGACGGAGAGCAAACTAAGGTCGCCCACACTCCACACACCGCAGAACGACCACACCCACCAGGTTCGGCTTGCCCAAGCCCCAAGGCTCACCTTCCTCGCAGTCGCTGCACCCAAAATTCTCTCGGCTTCTGACAAGCACCCCGGTCCCCGCCGCTTCCGTAGGCCGGCTTGGGCATTCTTGGTACCTTTCCGCCGTGTCTTGGGTGTGCTTGGTACTTGTCACTCCACACGCTCTCGTTCAAAGATGGATTTCTAAGAGTCCAAAGGTCCAGAGCGACTTTGTCCCAAAGCTCGGCCTCCATCTGCAAAACTCTTGGGACCATGGACCTTGTCTCTTGTCTTGTCTCCGTTCTCACTCTATCCCGTCTCTGCCTTACCTTAACCTACTTTGCCTTACCCTGCCGCTTTGCCCGCCTGTTCCGCTGCCTCATCATACATATCAATCTAGTCATCCACACTTTCCGTAACTTTGTCGCTTGTCCCATTCCCTTTTGACCTCCTCCCCTCCCTCTCCAAAATACCTGCTCCCTCCAACGTCCTTTGGTTGCTCGTTGATTATTCACCTATTCCCTCCCTCTCCTCCGGTGACGACCAACCAACTCGCCGATACTCGAAGCATTAGTGGAATCAGGAATTTTAGGGATTCCAACAGGACGGTTCACTGCGACGTGACGTAGCTGGGTCAGCGAGCAAGACAGATTCAAGACAACATACAACGCCTGCTGGATGGTTCGGTTTTAGTCAGAAACGGAAAGTCGACGCACCCCCCGGTAGAAGACCAACTCGCCCTTTGGTCCTCTTTACCGTCACCTATTACATCTTCCAACTTCGCCCCTCACATTGCATCTCGACTCTCGACTTCCTTCCCCTCCGAGGGATCAGTAGCCATGCAGGACTTCAGCACTTTCCTGAAAGGAAAGCCCACCTTGCCATCTCTATGGACCGGTAACATCAACTTCGCCAAGCTCAACCCCATCCCCCACCGATACCGACCCAGTCGAGCAAAGAGAAATCAGAAGAAGCGCGCATCTGGCAACTACACTGGTGCCGAAGATGTCACTTCATTGCAAAAGTCTCTCAACCCTCTCGACACATTACGGAAACTGCAAAATCACAAGTGGCGCCTCCTCGACCTGCAGTACACGATCCTCGTCGCCCTCATCATCTTCTCGCTCTGCATTACGCCTTCAGCGCCATTTATCAAGACCCTCGCCGTCACCGGGGGTCTCCTGCTTTTGACGATACCCGTCACCAGCCAGTTCTTCTTCCCAGGATTGAGTATATGGGCATACCTCATCTATTTCTTTTGTAGCCGGTAAGTCATCTTGCTTGTGGTGTTAGTGGTTTGGCTTGAATGCTAATTAAACATCAGCTTCATTGATGCGAAATACCGCCCCCACATCTGGGTTCGTGTCCTCCCCGCCCTCGAGAACGTTCTCTACGGTGCCAACCTCTCCAACATTCTGTCTGCCCACACCCATCCGGTTCTCGACATCCTCGCCTGGATCCCGTACGGACTCGGCCACTTCGGCGCTCCCTTCATCTGCGCTGGGTTCCTCTTCCTCTTCGCCGCCCCCAAGACGCTTCCGATTTTCGCCAAGTGCTTCGGATGGCTGAACGTTCTCGGCGTCACCATCCAGCTCGTCTTCCCCTGCACTCCTCCGTGGTACGAGAACGAGCATGGCCTCGCCCCAGCTGCGTACGGCATGTCCGGATCCCCCGCTGGCCTGGCCCGCATTGACGCTATCCTCGGCATTGATATGTACACCACCAGCTTCTCGACCGCTCCGGTTCCTTTTGGCGCTTTCCCGTCGCTGCACGCTGCGGACGCCGTCATGGAAGCTCTCATCCTGAGCTACTGCTTCCCCCGCTTCCGCCCTCTGTTCGTCATTTATGTTGGATGGATCTGGTGGGCAACCATGTACCTCAACCACCACTATGCGGTCGATCTGGTCGGCGGTTCTCTGCTCTCCGCCGGAATTTTCTACTTCGCCAAAGCTCGATACTTGCCTCAACAGCAAGCTGACAAGAAGACTCGCTGGGAGTACGACTATGTCGAGATTGGCGAGCAGACCAAGGTCTTCGATGAGGAGTACGGACGGATGTACAACATGGGATACCTTCAGCGCCGCGGCAGCTCCGACAGCGATGAGTGGACAGTTGGCAGCAGCTCCAGCTACAGCACATCTAGCCGGGGTAGCGGAAGTTTGAGCCCCGCCCTTTCCGAAGAATCCGGTCGCAGCATTTTCAGTATCGAGATCAGACCCGATAACGACAGATACGAAATTCCCCAGCTCACAGAAGTGGCTGTGCAGTAAATACCTCTCGTCGCACGCGCAGACCTATTCAGAAACACGGTGAACAAAGCACGCAGTGCCGCGAATCCGAAAGGCGGCGACGCCGAATCAACCCCGCAGCGCGCACTGGGAACCCTCAGACGATTCTTCGAAACCACGAACCCAAACACCCCCCTTAACCAATACCTCTTTGTTCGATTCTCATCATCAGCACTTTTTTTTCACTCAAAACGGATACCACATTGGATTACCTGTACCATTTGCATCAGAAGCACAGCAACGGCGCAATAGTGGTTTATTTTACAAACGACAGAAACGCCGGAGACGCATCGATCTCGACAGGCTTAGGAGTAACGGCCTCATGGATGACCACAACAGCAGAAGAAAGACCCACGGAGTCGGGGAAGGGGCAGTAACGGAAGACATGGGGGACATGGGATGATATAGAGTCCCCCCGTACATATTAATGTGTTCAATGTCGAGATGAATCTCTATCTCATCTGGCATCTAGCCAGGATGTTATGGAGGTTGATCTCTGGCGCCCGACTAGCAGGAAGGCGGGCCCTATGTAATGTGGAGGCACGAAGGGGAAGAGTATACCACGAGTAGAGGTAGAGCAGTCGCTACTGAAGTAGTTGATGGGGTGAAGAAAGAATAACGAGATTACCTATTCTCTCGATACAAATGTTCACTTTTGTCTGTGATGTTTCGCCATTTGCAGTCTGCTGCATTTCAATTCGGACTGAGTTCATATCCAAGGATGGCAAGCTGACAGTAACCGCCCGCATTCCGACTTGGAGTGCTCGCAGATCATCCTTTCCCTTTCCGTGGCTATCGTTCTCAACTCTCACCTGCCCAGCTGACCCGACCCCGGCTCGGCCGGCCAAGTAGGTTGCGCGGCCACGGCCGGGCTTGGGAGCTACGGCACCACCACGGCACACACGGCAAGGATTTATGGTGCTTTGTAGAGTTCTGTGGCGTTGTGATGGCGCAGACGGCGGGCTTAGATGGACAAGGTGGAGGAAGAGAGGGGAAGAAGCAGCGGAGGCACGGAGGCTTGGGGGCTTGAGGGGAGAGAGAAGAGAGAAACGGCAAAACGGGCAAGACGGGAATGGAGCAAGTGACGCTAGAGCCAAGACCCGAGCGATCGGGTCCGGCAAATTCAGCCTACGAATTTACCCCCGCCCCAATTGCGGGTTTGCTTGGTGTGTTTGGGTGGCTTTTCCCTGGTTCTGGTTGTGAAAAGTGGCCAGGTTGGATTTGTGCTGCGCCGATTTCCAGGTTCCGAGGGGACCGGGGGCTGGAGGGCCGGGGGTCCACTTCGCCGAGCAAGGGTTCTTGGCATGGGGTTTTTGGGTTTCTTGTTTCCTCGTTTCCGTCGATCTTGGTTTTCTGTCGTAAAATTTCGTCAGCTCTTTCCGGGTGGGAAATATGATTGTGAAGATCGGGCGGAGCGTGGGATTGAAAATTCTAAAGATTTCCAACTACCAGGAATCCTTCGCAAATACTCATTATTCTCACGTGTTCCACAATCTTTCCACTAACTTAGCCTTGAGTAGGTTCAGGGCTGACCAAAACACGCGAGATGCGAGTGGCATGAACATTCATCTAGTTTGAGGTACCTGTGCTTCTCAGGCTTTGCTCTCTCAAATTCGAGATCTCTTGTATCAAATTCTCATAATGTAATATCCCCTATCTGCCACCGGCACATTCAACTCATGAGCCATTTGCGCATCGAAAACCGTCCCCCGGTACCGTTTGAGTTTCCAACATAGTTGTTCCAAGCCATTCCCAAATTCCGCAAACCTTCTGCCACGGGATCGCGGTCTTTTCTCTCGGCTTCCTGTGCCGCCCGTCGCATTTCTCCCCATTTCTGCTGAAATTTATCCATCCATCTTGTGATGTTGAACAGCAAGGTGAAAGGACTGATCCTTTGGCGTCGCGCAGAATAGATCCCGAGGGCACCCAGCACGCCTGACCAAAACACGACTCGGAGCCAAGAGTAATACAGCCTTCGAGCGGCTAACCTTCGGTCTGGGTTGAAGTCTCTGGGCCTACCAAGCATATCTACCTCTGCGAGAACCCAGAGAAACAGAGCGAACCATGATGGTAAAAGCGCATGCTGTGCCATTGTCATGCGGTACCATGCGGATTGGAATTGCCACATAAGAAACATGTAGATTATCGCGCCGAATACGACGATCACCGATATATGGATACCGAGATCCTCTGGATATCTCACAACGTCTATCACGCTGTCCGGGAGTATCAAACCCCAAAGTCTCCAGAATAGCGGAATTGGCTCCTGTCTTGAGCGTGTTCTAATTGGAGACAAGGATCGGAGGACCTCTCCACCGCCTCGGCCGCGTATCAGGGGATCCATTCTGGAAGCTAACTTCACCGACTTCTCTTTGATTCTCAGCGTGGACGCGATGTTCTGTCGAACCTTGGCGAACGAGACGATGTATCCGACTCCGCTCGACCGGGCCACCAAGATGCCTAGTACGCGTCTAAGTCTGGTATCAACTACCCAGGATCCTGAGTCTCCCGCTTGAAAGTCTTTTGGTGTGATGTTAGCAAACTTGCGGTCTTCTGCATGCCTGAAGAACAATGGGGTACCATACCTTGACTGGGATCATCTAGTTCAACAATCCAGACTTCCTGAACTTTCTTACCTCCCCTGGAGATCATGAAAGTTGAGTCTGGACAAAGACGGCCGCGCAACAGGCCGCTCCTACCCGAAATTGTCCATACCGCCTGTGCTGACGGTGACATATCGCGATGCCCAAATTCCTTGTCCAAATCAGAGCAGACGCCTTCGATGAAAGGATTTTGCCACTGGATTGGCTTCTCCATGCCTTCTGGGATTCTGTTTGGGAGCAGAAGGTCGTTTTCAACAGGCACGAGGAGCCAGTCGTCACCGCTTCGTAAATCGTCTTCCTGAAACTGACTTGTGAGATATCCTTCTTTCTCAGCCAAGTCTTCTGGCGTGATCTGCCCCGAGACCGCTGCGCCTATCTCGTCTGAATGCGGCTCAGCTTCTGTCGTGATAGATGCATCCACATCACCCGAGGCCATTATTTCAACCTCTTCTGTGTTTCTTGGTATGACATTGCTAGTACTATCATCCAACAACACAGTCTCTTGGAGCTGTCTCATGTTCTCGCACTCCTCACTCGCACCATCGTCCGATCCGGAGGGAGTCAACGAATCGGAGTCCTCACTATCAGTGTCAACGTTGTAGATGACGACTGACCTCGCTTCCGAGTTTCCCTCGTCATCGGCAGAATCCTCGGAGGGCTCGTCGTCGTTATGTGGCATATGGCTTGTCGTAAGAGCGTAGAAGCTACCTCTGATCGAAAGAAGACCGCCTATTGTAGATGTCCTCTGTCCTAGACTGGGTGTCTGTACGATAACAAGACTGCCGCAGAGGGTTCGGTCCAGGGCTGGATCGCGGATCACGCAGGTAATTCCAAGTGCGGCGGGAAGAACTTCCTTCTTGTGATAGCATAGATGAAGCGGGGTGAAAATGTGCTTATTTTTGGACATGATCTTGTGGAAACGGCGCATCTGTCCCCAATCATCGAGACCATCGATGCGGATGCGAGTCGGAGTCTTTCCTACCAACTCTAGCTTGCTAGCGAGAGTTTTAATTTGACTGCTGGTCTGCGTCGAAGATACAGAAACGAGGATTGGCACAATGTGCGGCAAATCAAAGTGATGATTATCGAAAAGATCTTCTTTGTAGTCGTGGAGAATACGCACGAACTCCTTCAAGATGTTCTTGTCTTCTGATTCGAATACAGCATTGGGATTAATCTCTGCTTCAGTGCTGATATTCTCTGGGAATTTCGGCGTCAATATAACTTTGAGTGGTCTCTGCGGTTCCCTTGGTGTTGGGGTCGGAGTCGAGGTCAGGGCCGTGGTGGTTGATGGCATTCTCGGCGCCACTGCTGGAGGTGAGTTGCCAGAAAGAGACCTTACATGGGAGGGTTCTGTGAGAAGGGGTTCTGTTGCATTGAATCTCACCGGGGTCGAGGAGGGCTTAATCGCACTTGTTCCTAGCGAGGGCGTTTCCCTCAAAGACGCCTCTTTCGCACTCCGGATAGGGTTGGTCATGATTTCTCCTTGGCCTTTGCCTACGTCGCTGCTGTTGAAAGTCCTTGGATCAACCGGTGTCTCAATCACGGTAACATGCCGACGACGAGGAAAATTCACCCATCTTATCTTTCCAATCATCACCACCAACCCTATACCCAAGACTAGGGCGATGGTTGCATATATCACTCCATCTAGAAGTAAATCAAGGAACCCTTCAAAAGGGTCTGACTTCTCACAGCTCTTATTGACAGACGCTTCGGTTCTGGATTCATAAATAAAAGCCTCCATTGCGCAAGGCATGAGATGCTTTGCTAGTTGGAAGTCTTTGGAAAATGTCATATGCGCTGCGGCATGTGGGCTGGTCACCAGTAGAGACACAGAAGAACGGAGATAAAAGAGATGGAGGCTGGGGTCAGCGCAGGATTGGGGACATTAGAGATTAAAGAGTGATTCGAGAGGCCGATCAAGTAAATGTACTGCGGCCGGTGTCAGACTCGACGACATAGATCTATTGGTCTCTAAAATAGGCAGTGCAGTCATGTGGCACAGTCGAGTACGAGGTGCAAGGCAGACAGGAATCCTCAGCCTGATCTGGGGATTCCAAAAAAGTCGCATCGGAAAGGATACATACCGAACGATGTTTGTTCTCAACAATGCGTCCCCTCACAAGTGCTCGCAAACTAGTTGACTTACTTGGATCATTGCGAGTCTTCATCTTGCGTTAAAATGGCCGATAACGACACCCGATCGAATCATAGAATGATCGCCGATGCGATCTGGGAACCATGCGATTCGAGTGCGGCCATCTCCATTCAAAATGGTCAATTGAACAAGTTCTTCAATCACTGTGTACGACAGCAATCATCACTCGACAACTCCGCCGACCAGCCAAGCTCGGTCGATTCTATGGATGAGATCGTAAACGCCATACGATTACTTAGATCAAATCCATCAGTCTGTAAAGATCGAGTGCTACAGCAATGGTCCTCGCGAGCAAGCAATATGGCATCAGTTGAGTGCGCGGTACGTATGATGCTCATGACGGAGTGCGAAACCGAGGGAACTTTAGCCATAGGAAGCCGCAATGTCTATCGGTGGGGCGGCAGCGAGACGTTGGTGGACTACTTGAACCGGATCTATACACAGTCTACTTCAAGCGACGTGTCTAAAGATCCCGTTGACCTCAAGAAGCTTAGATGCCACGTTCTGGCTAGGGATGCTGGTGTGAAAATCCAGCAGACTGAGAAGCTATCAGATCACCTGAACCTAGTATGCCGCCCTAGGACCAAGGTGCTTTTGGTTTTCTCTCACAAGGCATTCCTCGAACACAGCCTGGAGATAGTGAAAGCAACCCGCCCGGATCTAACCCATACTACCCACGAAGCATTGGCACTGTAAGCTCTCATGAGACCACGATCAACGGTAACTTCTTAGCTAACGTAGCATACAGAGGATGTCTACCCCCAAAGCTCATGGACGAGACACTGAGAACTTACAATCTGCTTTTCCCGCTGATTGGAAGCACCAAGTCTAAAAAACTCTGGAACGGCTGGGTCAAGCGCGAAAACTTGGACGCAAGTCTGTTGAAAGCCTCCTCTGGCCTCTCCAAGAAGGGCACACCGCGAACTTTGCACGATCTCTACGAGGGTTTCCCACACTGGGCTCCCCAGTTGGCCCGGCTATTGGAAGAAGTCGATGATCCGACTCCGACTACTCGGTGGGAGAGATACGCAGAGCGGAGAAGGTCTCACCGACATACATACAAGTGCGCCATCGCCGCGCTCGTGGTGGCTGCCGTATCGGGGACGCTGGCGACGTTGTTGGCGGCTGTTCAGGTGTGGATATCGTACTGCGACTGGGCAAAGGAACTCAACAAACCTTTATGTAGACCTTGAAGTTGCCATGGCTCTGAGTTGCGGGTCACGCCCTCACCAAATTTATTGATCATTCGTCATCATTGCGACTAGCTAGCTAGCAGGCCAAGAGCCAGACTTTCTATCTTCCTCCGCGTCTGTGACCCGCATGAAACCCTCGCATATGAGGGACATACATTAGGTATCGATCCGTCCAACGCCTGAAACGAACAAAAACAAAGCCAATGATAGCTTAAACCCCCTCGAACACTTATGCCTCCTCCGTTCTGTACAGTAGGGCTTGCAAGAGCGGCTCTCTGAAGGTGTAGAAGCCCCGTCGTTGCAAGTAGAGCGAAAGCCAGACGAAGCTCGTGTCGAAGGTGGTATGAGCGGGTGAGACCGTAGACTACGTCTTCAAAACTCAGTGTGTACTTTTCCATCCGGTACAATGCATGCAAGACATAAAAGAAAAGTGACCAAGTTGGTATATGCGAACTTCCACAAGTAGAATCGCTTGCCAATATGGTCGGCAAAGCCAAATCGCACGGCTCTGCAACCGGTGTATATACTCTGACAGGATTTATGGGCAACTTTGAGACGCTGCGCGAGCATCTTCGACGACCGCAGCTAGGCTACTTAAAGCCATGTCGAAAGGGCTGGCGGAATGACTTCTTTCCGAAGCTGGCGTACTTCTAGGCGCCAGGCACAGGGACGGGCGTTTCCTTCTTGCTTGACTTGGGCTCATCTGTCTTCTCCGACTTTCTCTTCTTGCGCTTCTCCTTCTTGGGCGTCTCCTCGGCTGCGGGAGATGACTTGGAGGGGACCTGCGGGATTGGGACTGCGGATTCGCGACGAACGCTGGGTGGAAGAATAGGCGTCTCCTTGCGGGTCGAAGCAGGTTCATCAGCCTTGGACTTCTTGGAGCTCTTCGACTTCGGCTTCGGCGTCGAGCTCTCGGGGGCTGGGCTGGAGGCAGCAGGGAGGCTCGAGAAGGAAAAACCGGGCTTGGGGACGGTCGGCGGCGGAATGGCTGTCACCTTCTTGACCGAGCCCTGAGCGGGAGTATCCTGGGATGAAGCGTCACGCTTGACCTTCTTGGCCTTCTCCTTGGATGACTGGGCCGGAGTGGATTCCTCGTCTGTGGGCAGCTTGCGCTTAGATGCCTTCTTGGACTGGCTGGGAGTAGCGAGAGTCGACTTGGCGTTGGATCCCACACTCGAGATGGACTCGATGCTATCGCGTCGCTTCTTGCTCTGCTTTTCCTTGGTCGTGGGCAGAGGCTGCGAGTTGGGTACCTCAATAATGGTAGACTGAGAGTCCTCGACGGGATCCTTAGCGACCTTGGACTTCTTCTTATCCTTCTTCGAGCTCTTGGGGGTAGGCTCGTCGATATCCATGGCATCACCTGCCGGAGCCGCGGGCATGGATGTGTGCTTGGATTTCCTTGTGCGAGTCGGCAGAGCAGGCGTCGAGGTCATCTCAACATCTTCGTCGGAGGATTCGTCGAAGCCGATCTTTCCCATCGGAGTGTCCTCTGGGACACCAATAGGGTGGAAGCGAGCTCTCAAACCCTGAGGCTGGGGACGGGGGAGGTTTGGCTGAACGGGCCTGGGAGCGCTAGGCTCGCTACCAACCAACTGGGTCACGCGCTTGACGTGCAGAACCTTGTCAACCTTCTTGGGGGCTAAGATGTGGCGTTAGTAATTTGATCTGATTTGATTGTTTCGTCCTCCATACCTGTCTCATAACGATTGCCCTTCTTGTTGGGAATGAGAAGCTCTACTGCAGTGGCACCCACGTCGAAGCCGACAGTGTAGTCCTCCGAGTTGTGCTTGAAAATGGCGTCTCCCTTATGCGCCTTGTCCAAGGGAATCTGAAGCTTCTCCACAATGTTGATGGGGATGGAAGCGGGCGCGGTGAAGTACCAGAGCTGCTTGCCGTCGAGCTTGGCCTTGGTGAAGAAGTCGGTCATATCTTTGCCATCCTCATCGCCTTGCGCTTGTCTCAGGACAAAATCCTTGCCAACGAATCCAGGAACGTTAAGGTCCTTGCTGTTACGTCTGGGAGCGACAGCAGCGGTAGTCTCCTTGTTGGTTCCTTCCTCCTCATCAGAACTGGAGTCCTCCTCTTCATCTGCCTCGCCCTCTGCGCTCTCCTCGCCACTGCTGGAGCTTGCCTCGCTCGAACTGGTCGAGGCTGCCGTGGTTGCCTTCGCGCCATTGACCGCGGGCTTGGCTTTAGGCTTGGTCGTCTTTTCGGCCTCGCTCTCAGAATCACTCTCCGAATCGCTAGAAGAGGTTGTTGAAGCGCCATTGGCAACTGGCGTCTTCTTTGTGGCATTCTGCACTGGCTTCTTCGCAGTCGGCTCGCTTTCGCTCTCACTGTCACTTGAGGATGTGTCTGTGTCGGCCGCCGCCTCTTCCGCTGAGGACTCTTCGGAAGAGCTCTCGGGCCTGACTGGTGCTTTCTTGGTGGCAGAGGGCTTCGCATTGGAGGTCTTGTGTTCGACGTCGCTATCGGCAACCTCATCGGCCTTGTCGCGCTTGGCCTTCTTCAGAGGAGTACTGGCGGATTTGTTCGACGCCATCTGACCGTTAATCTTGGCGAAGAAATCGGGATTAACGGGACCACCATCATCATCGCTGCTGTCACTGTTGCTAGAGCTATCGTCGGAATCGGACTCCTGAGCACGAGGGTCGAACTTTTCGGCCTTCTTCGCTTGTGTGCCTCGGGCGAATTTGCTCTTAGGCTTTGCGACTTCTTGGCCTTGCTTCTCGAGAATTGCGCTCAGCGAGTGAACGCCATCAAGCTTGCGTGAAGACATCGTGCCTGGGGTGCTTCTAGAGGCAAGGCGAAATGCTGGCGTAGAAAGAAGTGAGGACGTCGAAGCGACAGGAACGGTTGGGACAGGAATTTTTCGAGGGTCTCGCAAAGATTCAGAAATCTTTGCAGGGATCGCACGGACCAGAGGTGGGGTCACGGTGGTAGCGGGAACCGCGACGCGGTGAGAGCCAACCCGCGTGCCTGCCGCGCTTCCGGGGGACTTAAAGTGCGTCGGCGTCGGCGTGGGTGTGGGTGTTCGGATGCGCATGAAGGATTTTCCAGCGCGGTTTTTCGGTGTGAGAGCTTTATCTCCAAATCTCATATCGCGATCGCGGGGTCCGACGAATCCGCCTGCCATTTCGGATTGACGCCCACAGTGCTCGATTGAGTGAGGTATTGCAAGTTTGACTTTGGTAGAAATTGAGCAAAATTCTGCGTGTGAGTTTGGCCAGTTGAGGTTGCGATGAGTCGAGAGAAGAAGAAAAAAAGAAAAGCTGATCTGAGGTTGGCAAGGTGCAAGAAGGAGGTAATTTGCGAAAGGCAGTCTCGACCCGGGGTAGCTGCCTGCCTCATCCAGACGGCCCTGTGAGAGGGACGGTAACGTACCCAAGGTCCTGTTCGAGCAAAGCCGGGAAGGACTGTACCTTACTGATTGAAAGCTGAGGTTATCTTGCTGTAGCTGCTGGGCAGGCACAATCAACACCTCTCCTGCCGTTGCACAGGAGCAGTTTTTGAAAGAAT